TGGCTCAACCCTTGCAGCACTAAGTAGCTTTGGGTTTTGGGGCCACCTGGATCTAGGAATTTACCGTATTTGGTTCTGGATAGGAATGCACTTGACTAGGAGGGCCTTTGCAGAGTTGTGTACCAATTGCACCTGTTCCTGGGTCAGGAGGCTCTATGCTCAGTCATGCCCTGCTCACCTCCTGTATGGATTACTGTAATGCACTCTATATGGGGCTGCCCTTGAAGAGTATTCGGAAGCTTCAGTTAGTGCAAAATGCAGCAGCGTGGGCAATCATGTGCGCACCTAGATCTGTGCACATTACACCTCTGCTCTGCAAGCTGCATTAGTTACCAGTTTGCATCCAGGTCAAATTCAGTGTGCTAGTGATAACCTAAAAAGCCCTACATGGCATGGGGCCATGTTATTTCAGGGACCACCTTTCCCCAGTGACGTCTACCTGTCCAACCAGGTCCAGCGGAAGAGGCTTGTTGCAGGTTCCATCCACTAGAGGATGTCATCTGGCAGGACCCAAGAGGAGGGCCTTTTCTGCTGCTGCACCCGCCCTATGGAACATCATTCCCCCTGAGGTCAGGCTGGCCCCAACCTTGATGGCCTTCCAGAAGGGCCTGAAGACCTGGCTTTGCCATCTGGCCTGAGGACCAGAGAGTGGTATGGAACCCCTAAAATGACTGTTCTGTTCTTGAATGGCTCTGCTCTCCTGGTGATTATATTGCATGTTTTTGTTTAAAATGTTTATATTGTTTGTATGTATCCTGCTTCTGGTTTCAAATACTGACTCACACATAGCTGCTATGGTAATTCACAATTCACTAAAGCTCAAGAGTAACAGTCAAAGCATGCAAACCAAAACAGTCAAAACATGCAAACCAAAAAAAAAAGAGCCTCAGACACTTGCCTGAATGATTCTCTTTATAACAGGAACACACAGAATAGTTCAAAATCAATCCAAGGTTCAGAGAACCAGGTCAGGGTCTTCAGCCAATCCAGAGGTCAGAATTTCATAGGCAGAAACCACACACAAGCATCACACAAAAGCCAGAGACCAGACAGTTGTTTCAAGCCAGGCACATGGGTCAGAACTGCCTCTTAAATCAGGCTGCAACCAGCAATCATTAATCAAGAGATTGGCTCCCTTGCTTGGCAAGGAGCTTCATAGAATGCCTCTGCCCTGCTCTCCTCTCTACTGGCCGTTTGCGGGGGCTTGGGGGCCTTACGTCATCCTCATCTGACTGCTCCAACTGTCCAGGCAGTGCCTGTTTTTTATCAGCCTCATGTTTCTTGGCTTGGTGTTTCCTAAGGCTGACATTCCACAGATTCAGCTGGAGCAGCTTATTCAGATTCAGAATCTGAGTCCTGAGCCTGGACCATGACAGTATGGCCATTTTAGTTTTTTAGTTTTTGGTACTGTTTATGTTTTAACTGTAAGCCACCCAGAGCCATGAATGTGAGATGGGCAATTATAGAAATTGAATAAAATTAAATAAACAAACATAACAGCTTCTAAAACTGTACTGTAGTTACTGACGCATACAATTTGACCAGAGATTCAACTGTAAATAGCTATTGGACATAGAAAAGCCATAATTATAGTCAAGATTAAGGGACATTGAGTGAACAGCTCAAAGTTTCCAACCTTTTAAAATGTATGATACTACCATAATTCAAATTAGAAGTGGCTAAAAGATCAGTCAGCTAGGTTGGATCTTCCAAACAAGCAATCACTACAGATTGAGCATATAAATTATAATTTTACTGGAATTTATGTTTTGTTCCTCCCTTATCAACTTAACATTGTCTTGACCGTAATATTTCTGTAAGTGGAATCATCCACATTGATTTTAGCTATACCTTACATCTTTTATAAATACCCATCTGTTTTTAGTTACTTAGAGAACCGCTATCCAAATAATTATAGACAGAAGTACACATCTTGGTATTGGAAGGATTTGTTTATTCTAGTGAAATTTTTAATTTACATTTGTGCTAAGTTTTGAATTTTCTGGCAAAAAGAAAAGAAGCTGGGAAATGGAATTTCTTTCTAAACAGGGAAGTTTAAACTCAAGTAAAGGATGAAAGTAATCTGTGAATGCAAAATGTTATGGAAATACAGCAACTAAAACAGATAATTTATGAAAATAAAGCAGTCTTTTCTCTCAACAGTACAAAAAGCAATGTTACTTCAAATAACTAAATATGTAGGAACTGGGACACAAATGCAGTGTCAGACTGTGAAAAGATCAGAGTCCTACCGCAAATACTGCATCTAGATATACTTCATTGTGAACAAAATAGATCTCTGCATTTCCCATATATTTCCATATTTATTTAAACATATTTCCTTGTACCTCCACACACACACACACACACACACACACACACAATACATGCACACATTCATACTTTCAACAATGGCTCTTCTTTGCAGATTTCCAACCATCCATGTGTTCTAAAAAGAATGGTATGAAATTACGTTTGATTGTCACACACTATATTTATAAAAAATGCAGGCTTACTTTGTTCACACATTTTTATAATATACTCCTAGACATATCTACTATACAAACACATGCATATTTGCCTACAGTTCCCATGTGTGCCAACCATGACATATGGTTTTTAAATGTTGTGCTCAGCATAGGGATTAACCTATATCCCTAATTCACACACCTTTTTCTTCCTAAACAATTGGCTACATGCATGTACTTTTAGCGTTTCCTGTGCTGTTAACCCACTTGCAACTGCCCTCTCTTGCCTCCTTGCCAATCTGCTGGAAAGTCTTTGGAATGCATCAGAGGGTGAGGCTCTTAGAAACACTGAGGGGAAAAGACAGAGAATAAAGCTGTAAAATTCTTCAAGAGAAGAATTGCTATAGGGATACAGAAGAAAAAGAAATTAGATGGATCTGGGTGGAGGAATCTAAGTCACAGAAAATCTTTTTCCAGGTGTTTGTATCAGAAGATCAATCCTGATATATAGAGTAGCAGGTCCATAGGCTTGTGAGAAATAGAAGAGGATGACTCAGTCTAATTCCAAATCAGAGTCCGATGATAATCTCTCCTCAGCTATTTGATGAACAGCTTCATCCAGGGAGGTTAAATTGAGAGAGGTTAAACTGCCATCAGGACCCAGGCCCATAGGTCTGATGATCTGTTGTCTTCAAAGGAAAAAAAAAAAAGAGAGAGAGAGAGAGAGAGAGAGAGAAATAACAGTGATAATGAGAAAAAGTGATTCCCTATGAGAAAACCCTTACAGAAACTGCCATGAAATGTTTTCTGATCTTTGAACATAATAAAGTGTTCATTCATTAAGCCATGAAAACCTTATGTGAAGGTCTCTTGAGCTCTTTTGATAAAATTGAAATAATATTATACCTAATAAAAATAATCCTAAAATTTCCAGAGATTGATCCATAGTGCATGTACTGGGACTAGTTTTGCTTATAGACATTTTTTTGAAGAGGGTGTGAAACTTTAAAAGATTCTAAACCGACACTTTTGAAATGTAATTACTATTTGTTTTATATGAAAAGCTCTAAGTGATTTGTAATTCAGCTTGGCCCCAAGCAGATGCCTTTTTCAGCCCAGGTTATTTAAATCCTTTATTGGAAATGTCATGTTGAATTTAGAACCTATATATGGCAAACCTATTAAGATCCCTTTAAACCACCAAAAGAACTTGAGTAAGTCTCCCGAGTCTCAATTCTCTGAAGGATTTTAGAAAGCAAACTCAATGGGTAAAAGACTAGCTTATTAACAAGCTGTTTTCTGAATTTTTCAACAGAGTTCATACATGAATGTTCTTCAGGAGATACTATTAAATAATATAGAATGCACATTTCTTAATATCCTTGAGGTGGCCCCTCTGTTTATTTTAAGAGTGCTATTAAGATGTCTGAAGTAGTAAGATTATGTTTTCCACATATGGCTCAAGAGGCATTTTTAACGCTCACAGGATTTGGCAGAAATTTGAAACCCAAACAAAATAATTAGTATAATTAAACTGGTATATCAAGTCATATCCCCGTGCAGAACACCATGTTAGCCACTTAGTATGATGTGTGAACTCAGCCTAAGAACGTGATTTTGGGAGCTTAATGCTCAGTAGCGAGGCCAGGCCAATGATAGAATTGCCACTGGTAATTCTGAAAGTAATAGCCCTAACATCCTTCACCACTGAGCTAGCCAGCAAATCCCTCTGCGATTCCTTCTGATCATCCTCAATGGCTAAGGAATGTCCAGGCTTGCATTCACCTCCCTCTAATATGCACAGGAACAGGGAGGAGATTGCATCAAACTACCTCTCCTGCTCACCAATTTATCTTTTGAATTCTTGACTCCTGCCTGCATTGCTCCTAAAAAAAATCAACTACTGTAGAGTGCTTGGGAAGGAAAATCAACGGCTTCAGCTGCTGTCTGCCACTGCAGTCTACACCAACTATCCAGAGACCCAGATTTGCACCTGTGTGTGTGATAAACAAATAGTATGAAACCTCTCACTGAGGCCATTTTAGAGCTTTGGAGTTGCTAAGGGTTTCCTCCCTCACCCTTTAAATTCCTACCTTTATTATCGGCCTGAAATTTAAGCTTAAGGAAGCTTAAGGAAAAATCCTGAGCTATTTACTTGGGATACCATTTTCAGTCTTTGTCAATTACTTTTTATTCTCACCTGTTAAAACTTCCCACTTTTCACATATAACTCTTAGCACAATGTTCTGGCAAGACAAAACATTTTACAAGTTTTTTTAAAAAAACCATGATATGATAACTATTACAGTCAACCTGTCCTGGATAAATTTGCTTAAGTTTGATGGCAGGGCACCACCCCAGTCCCCTTCAGTGCAGAGATTACAGAAATAAGGGTGAATGGGGAAAAACAAATTGATCTCCTCTACCATCCCCTGGGCTCACAGTTGCCTGCAGACATTTCTTTCAATGTTAAAAGAACCATCGAACTGAGTAGCAAATTAGCCCAAAGAAAATTAAATAATTTGAAATAACTTATCTGAATCCACTGTAAGTTTGGTATCTTAGATGTTTTGATTTTAGCCAACTGCTCTCTTTCAGACTGTTCTCTGACTACCAATCCATTTCAGGATAAGGTCTATCCTTTAGTACCTGGAGAGTTTGTCAAACATGTTCACCAGTTTCATTGCTTCAACCTCCTTCTGTTCATCTGTCATCCCCTCCATTGGATTGGGAAGCTTTTCCTCCACACGTCCGGTTATAGGATTAATGCTAAATAGTTGAATCAAAAAGTAGCACAAAGAAAAGAAGGTAGAATATATGAAACACAAACAATGAATCAACAAGCCTGATTCTTCATTTCTTCAGGAAGGTAACTAATGCTCTTCAGGATAATCAATTTTCCCACTCGTAAAAATCAAAAGGGCACAGGGACTTGGCAGGATAAGTGATAATCTTGCAATCAAAATTTATATTACATATTTCCTTTCTTGGCTGTTTTTTTTTTAAATGGAGATAAGAGTGAAAAGGCATGGTGAGTAGCCTAGAAATTTATTATTCCTTTGGTTAACACAAACATATGCTATTAATATTAAGAGACATGGGAGCAACACAGAATATGCAGATAATGTTGTGTTTCTCTCCCCAAAACATGTCCATTACATTACCCTTCTTAATTCAGTTTTGTCCATCAATTTCCTGTTACTATTCTTGCTTCTAAACTTACAAGGGAATTCCTATTTTAATAAATCCTACATAGAACAGCTGCCCCTCTACATGTTACAATAAATCTAATGTGTGCAGAAAAACTGGGGGAACCAGGAGGAGCTGGAGGAAGACAAGTAATGTAACATAATTGTAAACCGGTTGCAGATAAGAAGTAATTCGTCAAAGAAAATGTCAGAATACCTACAACTGTGTGCATATCTACTGGGCAAGTGACTCTTGATAACTGTCACTGTCAATTAGGTCAAGAGCTGGAGGTAAGAGGAGTTGTCTACTTGTGAAGAACTTGGCAAGAAGTTAACAAAGAAGCAAAAGTTTAAACACAGAGAAAAGAAGAAACTTAAGAGAAATCAAGTAACAAAATGAGCCAGGGGCAGTGAAAGACCAATAGGTCTTTTAATTTTTTTTTAAAAAGGAGATTCAACTTGATTGTAAGAGCTCTTAAGCAGCAAAGCAGGCTGCATAGAACAGTGGTCATATTCACAGAAAGGCTGGATGGTTGAGTGGATTCCTGTTCTCAGCAAATGACTTAGAAAGTCCCCTTTAATTCATATATGTTCAGATTCTAACATCTAGGAAGAAAAGGCAACAAAGAAACAGAAGCAAAGATCACATTTAAGGAGCCTAAGCATGAACTGCATCCCTACTTAGGCTTTGCTTCCTTGTATTCCTCTGTATCGGTGTCTTCATCCTCAGAGTATTCTCCTTCTGTCTGCCCCCCAGCCATGAGGCCTCGTGCTGCCAGAAGACCAGCAGCATTTCCATATCCCGTGTACTTCACAAACCGTGACACTGTGGAGACAGAGAAGGTCAAATGTCCTCCTGCTATTATAGAAACAAATGAATTCACATAGTAGCAAATATGTCTCATCTTTATCAAATCAACTTTTCAAGGAGGTAGATTCTTGCAAACCCAGAAGGGCACACATGAGAAAGAACCTGAGCTGACCAACAAGATTCCTCTTGGTTACTGATACAGCTGGATGGAAACACAACTGCTTTGGATTGGAAAAACTCTTTGATTGTCACCACTTGTTTGGTATCCTTCCTATATATTATCATGGTAATCCTGGTAAAAATGTAATTCTGTTCTTCTTCAGCCCATTTCTTACCTTCTCCTCGAGCTAATATAATAACCACATTAAGTGGGTGTCACATATGTTAGAAGGCTGCATACTGTCTACAAGGCAAAGCATTTAGAAGAGAAATACCACTCTGAAAAAGGCAGCTTTGCAAAGCTGTTTTGCTGTCATAAAGTTCAAAAAAACAAACAGTAACTCTGCTGCAAAGAAAAGTCTGACTAACAACTAAGAATTTGCAAGCCTGGCGGCAACAGTAATATTCAAACTTATCTATCTTTCTCCCCACTGATTTTACGATTGGTCCAGTGAATGACATTTCCCTTCATCTCCATGCAATGTAATTTAGTCCAATGACCCATGACCTCTCAATTCACCTCCATTCATAATATTCAACCACAATCGAAATACCATCTCAGTTAGATGGATCAATTTGTTCACCTATTTACTGATTCAAACTGCCAGCCTACAACAAGATGAGCAAGAGAAAGGACGGACAATTACCGCTTTCCTTGCAGAGTACAAACAGGAACTCAGCAGCACAGTGTTTCACATCCGTGTCAATGTGAGTCATGAGGCGTACAAGTTTATTTCTCAGCAGGTTTCCCACCTCTGGTCTATTCTTCACATCCCGTAATGGAGGAAGTACCTGTGAATCCATGGAAAGCCAAAAGTGATGCTTAAAGCCATATTAAGCTGGGTTTCATGAAGCCCTGAAAATATTGAACCAAAAATGTCTCAATAAGATTAATCTCATCCTGATACTAAATACAGATGCCTTCTTGCAATTAAGTAGCCAAAGGGTATACTGATAACTCCTCCTATATGGACCTACCTGAAGGGAATACCAAACTTCATGTTCTAAATAAGAAACCAGCAATGTGTGGTCCAAGTACAGCCCACAGCTCCTTTTTTGCAGCCCTGTCCCCACTCTGGACTATATTGCCAAAACTCAGCTACAAATCCTTGAATAATGGTGATACAATTTTCCCCCTTTTTGGCAAATGATAAAATAGAGTTAAGAAAATACCCAAATGTATTTTTCCTCTCTCACCACTTGTTGTACTCATTGAGTACCACATGCTCCTGATCACATGTTGCCTCAGCAATAGCAATTAGCTCCCTTTGGCTGATCTTGGAAGCTAAGCAGGGTTGGCCCTGGTGGGAATTCTAGGGCTCTTAGCTAGACTGGGAAGCCAAGAAAACATCCTAGAGGAAAGCAATGGCAAATCATTTCCACAGCTCTACCAAGAGGACTGCAGGGATGTAGTCATTCAGAATAGAATACAACTTGAAGGTTTTCACATTTTATATAGCAATTGCACCATCCAGAAAATGGAAGAAGATGAAAAGTCTCCCTCAGAACTTGATGAAGAAATGTCCTGATGTCCACAGATTCCATACCAACAGTACCAGAAAGACAGTTTCACACTATCAATGCTGTATGCTGCCTATTAAGTAGATTTTGCCTCATAGTGTAGCTGGCTCAGTGAAGCTTTATTTTATGGGTCCTGCTTGACTTAAAATTGTACCTTTGATTTAAGGAATTTCCTCGTCTGTCGATGGACCCGGGCACTTTCAGTCAGCAAGTTCAGCACTGGGGTAAGACTCTCCTTGAGTTTGTGACCCTGTGAAAGAGGCGTAACAAGAAACAGATTTAATCAACTGTACCCGAGGTTTCCCATGCATGAAAATGGTTTGGAGGTATAGATTTTTTAGTGAAAATCAACCATGTTAGTTGAAACTACAAGTAACTGCAGGTTGGCAGGAGACAACATCACCCTGACCGGAGTAATTCTCAAAGGGAAAAATTAGGTTTTTAGGAGAGCCACTTAGGCTTCATTTCTGTGTAAAATTCCCTCCCCAATTTCCCTTTGTAGCAACTGCTACCACATATTTCATGTCCTGGCACTATTATGTTCAGTGTTTATCTGTATAGTCTTATATAATGTATGGCCTAGCAGGTGGCAGCATCTAGTCAACGCTTAATTTCAAAAAAACTCTGCAGGATCAAACCTAGTTAGTAGTTAGATGGAAGACTATCAGGACATCCCAGAGTTGTAGTCTAGACCAAGACATTTTTTTTTTAATATCCCAGAAGAAGACAATTACAAACCACTTTTGTATGATTGCCAAAAGCCCCGTTCATGCAATCACCAAGAACTCAGCTTGACTTGAGGGAGTCTTTTCCTTTTTTACGTAATGAATAATCCTAGCATTAATGCAAAAAGCAACATTCTTCTGCACAAATGTCTGATTGGTTGAGAGTTGCTTCACATATTAGTGAAAAGCAGAAGCACTGATCATTTGGATTCACTAAGAGATATCTTTCTGATCAGTGGAAGACAGACCGGACAGAACAGTATTAATTCCACCTCTTAGCTGGCAGGCAGGGAAGGCTCAAGGCTTTTTCCCGTCCTGTGGAGGAAACTCATATTTATCTGGTCTAATAGTTCAGGACCAATCTTACTGCTCCCCTCTGAGCAGCCTTACTGACTTGTAATGGAACCACATTAATCACCCCTGTATGCAAATTGAGAAAACTCAGTTATTTAAACAAATCCCTTTATCTAACAAATAATCTAACCTAACATCTAACAAATCCACCTAACCTAGAAAGCTCAGCAAGATGGCTCCTGCTGATCACTTTAATGTCTTCATCCCAGGGTTTTGATGAATTTATTTCAAGGCCTGGGGTTCATGAAAAGTAGCTCTCTAATCTCCTTTCTTCATTGGCACCATAAAATAGTTTGAAAAAACATGGCAGAGAAGGCCTCTTCAGTGGTATGCGCTCAGCTGTGCCCATGTCCTGTAAGTCCTTCATTGCCTTCTTCATCCTAAGATGTTTCTTTTTTGTTTTTGGAGACAGGGGATTGCAGAAACCTCTGTTTTGACTTTGCTGTGATTTCTAGCTCATTCTTGTAAACTCTACTGGATGTCCCCTTCAAGGTGTGTTTCCAGGAATGTCTGCATGTATGCCAGGATTTCTACAGTAGTATGCCCACTTGGGAGGTAATGGCACCATGCTGAGAGATCTTTATTTTGGCTATTGGTTTCTCTGCCTGGCTACTGAATGGCCGCTTTGGCTGAATACTGTTTGCCATTTTGCCACATGATCACAAAGACATATACTCTGCTAAACTAGCTGAGAAAAAGATAAGAGTTCTTACACTTTTTCACAGCCGTTCTCACAAAGGGGAGGCAAGAAGTTAATGTGGACTAAGCTGGAAGGAAGGAGAGGAGGAGAAAAGGAAGGAGGAACTATGTCGGATTAGGCAGTTTTGGAGCTTGTCAAGGTTCACTTGTTAAAGAGCAGACCTGAGATTGCTGGGTGGGCTGGGAGAAGGCTGCTGAAGCATTCCAAAGAGGCCTGAAGACCATTAAAAGATGGCAAGATCAGGGCATTGTTGAACTATATCAAGAGGGGGAGAGAGCATCCAATATGTGATTATAATCTGGAGGAGGACTGAGAAAGACAATATCCCACCAGCCAGATATTCCTAGTCATGCCTAATTAACCCTTTTGCTTAACTCTAAATATGGAAGGGTTTATGGACAAAGCTGTACACACAGATAGCAACAAGCTTAAGCTAAATATATACCAAGCAGAGAAGGGCTAGTCTAGATATACTCTCCAAGTAGCAGTAAATCACTGTTGTATTCCTATCCCTTTACAGCTGAAGGAAGATTAGGGAGATGGAAAAATGCTTGCTTAACTGCCTCTTGCCTAATTACCCTTATACACCTGAAAATAAAACTAAGCTATTCCTATCTGTTGGTATATTACAAATTATGGGAAAAATTCACAAAAAGGTGTGCGCTGCACATTTGATTACTTTCCAAGGACTCAAAGCCTTGTCTGCTTTCTGTCCAGAGGAAGATAGGTGTTTCAGTCTTTGGTATGAAAGACAGTGCTGGACTTCTATCTGCTTTCCTCAGGTCTGTAGGCAAGGATTTCTTCTTATGCAATCAGACTGCTTCTCTGAACAGCTTCTTCAGTAAGAAGAGCTTTGCTGCAAAGTTGGATTTGATTAGTAATCCATCTTGCAATGTCTGAGCCACAGACCATAGACCATTCCTGATGCCCTAGGTGTGGCTATATACAAAGAGGTTTGCCATGACTTCTGACCCATTTATTGATGTCCTCTCTTTTAAGCTAGACCTTACCAGCACTTCTGGGAGAAGAGCACATGCCAGTACCCCAAGGTTCTGATGATGATGGAGACAACTGCAACCCTTATTCCCAGAGTGGATGCCCTGCGGACTATCTTTCACTCACTGGGGTCTGTGAATGCTTATTCTTCCTTCAGAACCACTGATTTTAAAAATTAGAGAGGTCACCAGCTTTTTGATGTTAGGCCAGGTCAGGAAACAGACTCCACAAGAATGACTGGAACTCAACTGTATTGATCTAAGATATAGTAAGAGAATCTTGAAAGCCTGACAGCCTTTTCCTTCCCCTCCCTCTTATAATCAAGAGAGTTAAGGCAGGGCTAGTCTGAGTTTTTTTTCTAATGCTGCCTCCTGTCCTGGACTCAAACCATATTTTTCTAACTGTCGCCACGTAATTTCTCCAAGATATTTCTGGGGTTCTCTGGAAGGACTCTCCTGTCCTTCTTGCTGACATTAGGGTAGGGGTGGGGAGCCTTTCAGGGCACCAAATTATCACCGCAGCTTGCACTATCCAGTACTGAGTCTGTCAGGGTAGGGATGAAGGGTTTTACTTCCTTTTAGCCTTACTGTGTTGCAGACTGGTTGACAGCCAGCACTGTCACGTGCCTCTCTGTACTCTATTGCTTTGGAAGTACGATTGGGTTCTTCCCTGATCTCACTCTTCAGATTTGACACAGGGCCCTTTGGGCTGCAGCCTTCTGCCACTGCATCAGTCAACTCATGCACAGCTCTAGGAGATGCATTAGCACACATTGCAGAGAGCACTGGTCACCTTCTTCTCCTCTCTCTATCTTTTATTCTTGGCTACCATGATGGAGCCAATGAAAACTCAGTGCTTCTCGCAGAAGGCAAATAGTAAGACCAAGCAAAGGGATTTCGTCCATGGGACAGGAAGAACCTTCCTTCCAGCTTAGAAGAGGTGGAGTTAACCTTTTCCTGTCAGCTCTGTCCCTGAGTATGTCTTACTTTAGCTATGGGGAAAAACAGGGCAATGGGGCTATGACGACAATTAAACAGCAACACAGAGAAAAGGAGAAAGCAAATCAACAGTAATGTTTCTTTTTCCAAAAATTAAATTGCCTCTGACAAACCAGTAAGATGTATCAACCAAACAGCCAATGGGTCAATCCAATTCTGGAACGTTCTCTATTCAACCTACTCACATGTTAGATAATAACCATTAATTTATGCTGTTGCTACCTCTTTGCTACCAGGCTGGCTGCTATTACAGGAATTTTTTTAGGGAGTGATAAATAATTAAGATTTATATCTTCCCATGGTAGGGTAAATCTCATACATTTAAGCACAGAATTCAAATGAATCCTAATCAAACATGGGTATCATCATAAATCAAAGTAGTTTGGTACAATGTTGTGAAAATGTTCTGCTTCACCCACCCTATCAAGACGTCGATCAAGGAAACTCAGGAGAATATTGACAGCATCCATGTTGACTCCCATATATTCAAGGGAGCCTGGGTGGATCTTTGGAGCCAGCAAGACATCTAAACACTTGAGAGGCAGATTGCCCAAAAGGTTGATTGTATGGCTAAAGGCATAATGCAAGACAAAACAGAAAAAAGTTAGCAACCAATATATATGAAAGGCTGTTACATTTTGAAAACCCTGGTAATTTCTAGGTTTTAGCAATAGAACAAATTGCAAATTGTGCTGTCAGTATCAAATAATAGCAAACTCTTCCTATCTAGTCATGCTTCCATCATCCTCTCCATCTGCTGGTATATATCCATTTTTACAGTAGAAGTCCAGTAAGATCACAGATTTGCCAAATCTCTTGATCATAATGTGCAACAGTACTATTATTTATTAATTTTATATCTGGTCTCTCTCTTTACACAACAATCAACATGGTTTACAACAGTTCAAAACACAAATGATAAAAGACAAGAGTAATGCCATTATAATTAAATTCAAGGCAAAATTAAAATTAGTATCAATGAAATCAAAATCAGTTCAACTGATGAAAAGCTTCATGGAAGTAATGGATTTTCCCTATTTTCCTAAATTCCTACCATGGGATCGCTAGGGGAGGCCCTCTCCTGTGTACTAGATAGGCAAGCTTCCAACAGCAGCAGCAGCAGCAAATATCTTCAGAAGAGCCTCTCCTTCTGATAGTGTTTATCACTATCTAAAGTTATTATGGGCTGTGTCAAGCACATGAAGCAGAAGAGAATTCTGTTTTTTTTTAATACTCTACACAAGCTGCACAATGTTTTTTCAATGCTAAGGCAATTTCAGCCACAGCATTCTTTTTTCACCACTAAGACTTAGTGTATACTGTACTGAGGTCCACATTTTATAAGTAGGATACTACATTTATTTTACTATACTGGAAGGAGAAATCTACACCTGATCTGCAATAACAAATTGGTAATACGTGCTGTTTGTCAACATTGGGGGGGAAAAATGTTTAAGCAACACAGTCCAATTTATTTAACTGTTCTGTTTATTATATAATTTCCAGGCATTTCCCCCTTTCCCCCCACTACTTTCATTACTACACCTACCAATTTTGCGGTTGTAGTGATCCTTTAATACTGTATATGTATTTTACTTCTATTGATTAACATAATACAGACAATCACCTATGAAATTCTTCTGTCCGATCATCACCATCTGCTGAAATCATCAGGCAGTGACGGAGAAGGGCACCCAGACGTCGGTACAGAGCAGCATCTTCCTGGCCCCAAAACAAAATTAAAATTTTTATTATGAGAAAAGAGCTCATCTTTATTTTAGACAGTCTGTTGATTGATACATATAGTTCTAGCAGTACATTTTCAGGACCAAATGTACATTTGAGTTCAAGGGAAGAATGGCATACAGGGAATTTGAAAATCTGCAAAGCAAATTAGCACACACAAAACAAAGCATCTGTAAATTCCTGACTCCCTAATTTGCAAAATGCAAAGCCATAGCAGCAGATGAATTAGCGTAACTGTCTCATCTGGCATTTCTTTCCCTTTGTCCCTTCATGTATGTCTACTGTACGCCTACAACTTTCTCCAAGTTTCCTTTCCCCATGTCAAATTTTGCAAAATAACAACAATAAGCTAGGTAGCAAGAATGCAGGACCGAGAATAAAATAACTGTTATATTAACAAGGCAAATGTTCAGAACAGAATCAAACTAGGTTCATGAAGAATTGAAATTCTTGATTTTAAAATCAGAAATAAAAGGCAAGCAGTGAGGACATGGTGAACTGAAGACATCCCTGAAGAAGCGGGGATGCCATTGTGGCTGAAATCCATGGCCGGATGCAGGATCCAGGTCAGCGAAATCTCTCTGGAGAGAGATTGTCAGATTGCCCACAGGTATTCCGAACAACAGCTCCTCATGAGTAGACAACAGGAACCGACGTTTTTGCAATCTGCTTGTGAGTTGAGTGGCTGGGAGTCAAGAGATTCCATCAAAGCTGTAATGCAGCTTTTAAGGACATATGATTCAGCTGATCCTAATTTCTTAACCACTTTGGAATCAATTTTTTATTGCTTTTTAAATATTGAGAACCTCTGGAAAGCCAAGTTTCATGGTATTCACTGGATGAGTTTCCTTCAATCCTTTACAAAAGAAGTTTTAAGTACGAGTTTAAGGATTAAAAAAAAATTCTTTTTCAGAATTAACAGCAAAAGGGTGATTAGAGTGTTGATTTTAGAAAGTTATAAATGGACTAAAGGTCCAGATGGATTTAATAACATTCTGAAATTAAATGTAAGAATCATTCCCATGGGAAATTAATCATGTTTTTGCATTCGGAAGAAAAACAACATAAGATGGGACTTTGAAGGTTGGACACTAGAAGGCACCAGAAGGAAATAAAGATTATAAATAAAGGGGAAGAATACTTAAACTCGATCTGATGATGCAGAATGGAGCAAAATCTTTTAACAATGGGTGCATTGAGAGGTATTTGTGAACAAAGGACTCAGAAGTTCGTTTTAAAGACCTCTGCCATTATTGATAGACTAAAAGATGTTATAGAAGAGAACAAGTCTTATTGCACAAGACTGAAATTGATCCTAATGCAGACTTAAAAATGACAGCCTACAAGAAGGTTATAGAAAAAGATGAAATATTGAATATGCAAACAAAACCAGCTGATGGTTTGATAACTAAAAAGGACATACAAATAATAGATCAGAACAGTGTCTTGAATAACCATTCCATATTGGATTTACAAAAGGGATTTGTTAATGTTGCCAGTGATTATGTGAGAAGAGACAAAGAGAAAATGAAAAGAAATCAAGTGTTTGGACACTATCTCAAGGGACTAAAGATCAAGATTGTTGGGAGCAAGGGGAAGGAATATAAAGTTGGTTTATTTGACCAAGGTTAAAATAGATAGGTTGCTATTTCTAGAAATTTTTAATGGATATCTGATCAGGACTGAATGATGATGTTTTAAGGTTTTGTTTATAGGTACAAATTATATTGGAAAGAGTTCATTTGTTGTATTTTAAATTTATCTGATTAAGATTAAAACAGTTATGTTGTTATCTCTGGTAACTTTTATTGGAATTTTACTGACTAGATATGAATGATGAGGTTTGGGGGATTTGTTTAATGATGGAAAATGAGATATAAATGTAAAAGGAAGTAATTCAAGTGGGTTTAGATTAGATCAAGCTTATAACAGGTTGTTATTTCTGGTAACCTTTAATGCATTTTTGTTGATTAGGATGGATGATGAGATTTTAAAGTTTTGTTTATAGAGAATGAGGTGAGATATGGGGTGAAGAGATTGTTGTATTTTAAGAGATAGTGATAAGTTGTTAAAATTGTTTATATTTGCTGGGATGAAGGGGGAAGTTACTTCCTTTCTTTCTCTTTAGATTTGTATCCTTTTTCTTTGCACTTTTTTTCCTTTATTTTTTATACTTTGTATTAGTTTCATCTGTACAATGCAATCTTTAATATAATAATTATAAAAAAAATAAAAGCCAAGTAATGGAAATATTTCCTTAGAAATTACCTAAAATATATTACATTTTGGCCTTTCATCCAGCCATTTCAGATCCTTCAATAATTTGCTGAGTTCTTGATCACAAGTAATGTGTGTTGGATTCTGATTTCCAGAATTTCTAACCCACATGACCACGTAGTGCAATACATTTGGAAGGTATCAGGGTGGGAAGGTCTAGTTTAAGCCACTAGACCGGTTCTCCCCCACCCAATCTAACTATATAAACAGGCATGCAAATTTAATAGGCCTTTAACTTTCATTGAGAGCCATTTTGGTTAAAAGTAACAGGCTAGAAACCAGGAGACTGGGAGTTCTAGTCCTGCCTTAGGCACAAAACCAGCTGGGTGACCTTGGGCCCATCACCCTCTCTCAGCCCTGGGAAGAAGGCCACTTCTGAAAATGTTGTGAAGAAAACTGCAGGGGCCAGGCAGCTACCAGGGGTCAAGATTGACTTGAAGATGATGATGATGATGATGATGATGATGATGATGATGATGATGTTGATGATGATGATGATGATATACTTTTCCTAACTTTTCAAAGCCCAACAATGTTGAAAAATTCCAATAAATGGTAATAGAGAGATCTATCATCTATCATATTTTAGAATAATGAAAGCAAACATGACCTTACATATTTGTAATTATAGAAATAAATGACTAAAGAAATATTATCACAAATCATTCTTGTGGCATATGTATCTAACCATGAACCCTAGTTATAGCAAGTCACTGCATGCAGAGAAGCAGTTAGCTGGGCAAATATGTAAGCACACACATGGAATAAGTCTGAAACATAAGAAGAAGAATCAAATTATATATTTTGGGGAGTGGAAACAATTTCAGTTCAATGGAACAGATGGGATCAAGGAAGTGATTCTATCTCCTGCTGAAATCTGCTTTATGTCATTATAAAGCAGCACTGGGTTATATCACGTAATGCCTTGCGATAACAAAATCTGCTTGTCTGGCCTGATCATTTGGAAAGGGTCTGCTGAAGTTCCCTACTCCTTAGAAGGTACGTGTAGCATGGACAAAGAGCAGGCCTTCTCAGGAGTAGCCTGTACTTTATGGGACTCTCTTCCCTTGGAGGCAACATATAGCCCATATCTATTTCGACATGCCTTCAGCCCAAAATGATTGTGAGTACCATTATAGCTTTTATGTTTCCTTACAATTTACTGCATTACTTTTGACTTGTATTATAACCACCCCGAGTCCTTCGGGATAGGGGTGGCCTAGAAATGCGATAAGTAAGCAAGCTAAGTAAATAAGGGGGCAGGGAGGACTGCAGGATAAAACAGAGTGATGTGAGTTTCCTCTCATAATTTGGAACCCATTCCAGGTGTACTCCAGATGTGGACTTCCAGGGGACTCTAAACACATCCCTAGCTGTAGGAATCACAGGTGAAATGAAGTGGTGAATAAAGACAGAGGCATCTATGAATGAAATACCCAACGTCACTTCTGGGTGTCTTACCTCATCCACCTCCTTTTTGTTGGTGTCAAAAGTAATATTGAAGAGGACCTTTAGGATTTCCATAGCACGTTCTGTCTCTTGCCGAGGTAATGGCAGGGAAGGATTCCCTTCAGCAGCTACCTCATGAGGGTCAACCCACTTCACTTCCAGCGTAAGTTCCAGAGTATCCGTCATTAAACCAATACCTCGAAGTTCCTGTGCAACTTGCCGCCGAATATCCACCCTTAATGCCGTCAATAAAAAGAGAAGGCGCAGGTCAAAGAATTTTATATCATGGGGGAAGTTTCTCTCATTATAGAGTTTGATGCGATCTGTAAGGCCCACCACAAACCGAGCTTCAGCCATCAGTTCCTGAGCCCGGGGACTACTGAAGACAATATTGCAGAGGCACTTAAGGGCCTCCAGAATTACATCCAGATCAGGAACCTCCAGGATTTGCTCTTCTCTGTAAACAATCCCAGCATGCCTGGCTAGCGTCTTCAAACTTTCCACGGTGGTGAAAGGGCCAAGGCATTTTTTATCTCGGGACAGAATTCGTATGCTTTCCAAGCATGTCACTTGACAAGATGGCTGGAGAACTCTCTCCAAGAACTTGATCAGAAGCGTGGCCAGTTTCTAAAATATCAGAAAGGAGATGTAAGAACAAATCTAGTAGTGAACCAATGAAGTTCTGCATAAGACAAGCAGGACACTCTATGTCTGCTTTTGTACAATTTCAAAAGTTCAATGAAATCTAATGTCACCTTAAACCCTTACAATGTGTTCAGTCCCTCAATCCCATTTCTATCTGGATACAAGCAATGTTAATACAACACCCACTTTATCATATCACCAGTTGACACATAGCAATTAGAATGTGCCTCTATTTCTTAAGTTTAGGGTGTAAATGTCTTTTCTTATATAGCCAAAACAGCACCATCAATATGTAAGAGGCCAGTACTAGCAAGTTTGGAGAAATTCTGAGATTTTCAAAACTTAAGGGAAATGGAAATCCAGAAATAGTATAATAATGATTGAGCATGGCTAGTGATTATTTAATGCAGATTGACTCTTGGAGGGAGAAAAGTGGAAATTGAGGGAAGAGATGAAGGAAGATCCAATAGCTAAGAGACTGAACAGTACTTCTCTACACTGAGTATGGCACTGACAGTATCACTCTTTTCAGTGCCAAGGAAAAGACATAAAAGATGGCAGCTGGCCATTCAGCCCCTTGCCTCAGTCTTCACTCAACATGTTTGCCATTCACAAAATAGGGGAATATTTTTTTAAAAAAAGTAACTAGCGATTGAATGAGCAAATCAGCAAAACCACCCAGAGATATCTGCAGGGCCAGTGGGTAGGGGGAGGGGGGAATAAAGAAAGCAGCATCACGCTATCATGATGTGCATTATGACATCACATACATGTATGCTGCTTTCATTATTTTGAAGAAAGCCTTTGATTCTATGGATGCCCCTGAAGTCATCCTGTAGAATGAATGAAGAAAACAAGTAGTTAGTAGCCAAGTATATTCTGCCTTGGCTAAAGAAGGGAAACAAATAATCTCCGGAGCTGGGAGGCAGAGTTACTCCAATGATAAATTATCCACTCACAGCTTGTGATAATGTCATGAGGACTTTGGGGGGGGGTGGAGGGAGACGAGGCCAGGGCATGTTTGTGTGGCAGTTAGGTGTAAGTGGGGAAAGGGCCTCAGCCGTAACACTAAATCAGTTCTGTTTCTGCCAAAAACAGAAAGGGCTGGCAGTGCAAAGATTACTTAGACTGGGCAGTCACGTGTTCAGCCACAGAGTTGGGCTGTTAAAGAAGAGGGAAGTGCATTCAGATTCAATTAATATTACTAAATATACATGACTTTGCTCTCTGTATGTCAACAATGCAGCAGGTAGTATTTGTTTTCCACAATGGAACACGGACACTTTTCTAATTTGGCAGGCAGTGTGGCCCCAGAAGCAGGACAACTGGTCAGTTCCCAGGTGGGCAGAGGGAGGCAGACTAGAGACTCTCCATCTCCTCTATATCTTGCTCCTGTCTCTTAAATACAGAACCAGCTTGTATAGTGTCCGACTTTCCCACCTGCTCAGCCCTCTATGGATGGTATTGAAGTATGCTATCATTGGCTCCTTTCCATAATGAAAATATGATAATGAGCTATTTATGCAGCTCATACTTGTTACAACTTAAGGCTGGCATTTGGCTCTTGGGCAAGATCCATGATTGAGGAATCTGCTGTTACCATATGGGGTCCAGTGGTGGGACTTTAAGGCTCCAGCCCAGTGTGGGAACTCTCAGCTGAAAGGATAAGCTTATAATCAGCTCATAGTAACATGGAGCACACAGCTCTGCTGCCTCCCAATATAGTCAGTAGATAGACAGGGGCATGTCCAGCAGCAGGAAAGCTGGCCAAGAGAGGTCCATGCCCTACAGTGTACCAATCTCTCCTAGCTGTAACAATACAGTTGAGGCCTACCTTCTTAATCTCAATAAAGTTTGTGAGACCTCCCTTGATACCAGTAAAAGAGAATATAGGTAGCTCAGGGTTGAACTGTGGAATCTTTGGTGCTCTCTGAGCTTGGTTGTTTGATTGCAGATGCTTCATTACCCAGCTAGGTAACATCATCAGTGCTAGCGTTACCTAGTTGGGTAATGAAACATCTACAATCAAACAACCAAGCTCAGAGAGCACCAAGGACTCCACCTCCCTTGATCTCCCCTGAGTCTGTTAGCACAATAGATTTATGCTGGAGCATCATAGGTAAATGTGGTGAGACTTAAATACTTTTGTGACTGATATAATAAATTATCATCCATAACATTTGTGGGTGAAGAAGCATTTGTTAAGTAGGAAGAGGAAATGAAAATAACCTGCACCAGCTTTCTCCCCCAATAATGAAGAATAATGGCAATTGTATCTTTATATCTGCTCTTATCGTTGAATAATAATTCAAGGAGGGAAAGTATTTGTGCCCTTGGTCTGCTTTTCTGATCATGAATAAAGTTGTCTTGAACAAATATAGGATTTTGTGCTTAATGAAGAACATTTCTTCTTTTGATCACTCTATTACATACCCCACCCATCTTGCTTTCCAAGTTGAACAATAAGATAAATGCGGACAAACAATATAAAACAATCCTATACATTATGAACAATATATACAGTGGGGCAAAAAAGTAGTCAGCCACCAATTGTGCAAGTTCTCCCACTTAAAAAG